AAAAAAAAAAAAAAAAACCCTGCAACCAAAGTCCAGATCCCTAATCTTTGCTGCCCCTCCTTCACCGGAAACCTACATCTGCGTCGTCGGGGCCGGCTTCCACCGAGTCGGGGTTGGTGGTCCTTCTTCCTGCTGTTTCCGTGGCCTCATGGGTGTATGGCTCGAATTGGAGCATGCAGATCTGCCATCTCCCTGGCCACGGAAAGGTCGTCGGTCGTTCGCGTCAGGCCCCAGCCCCTGGAGTTCTTTGGGTTGTTGGTGCGTCGGGGTTCGGGTTCTCTTTGTGTGGTGTTCGGGTTCAACTCGGTTGTGCAATTGAACCTTTTCGAGCTCTCCGCCGTGATTTTCGACAACTTCGGGGCGGCTTCCCTTCTCCTCTAGCGTGGATGGTTTTTCGAAGTCTAGATCTAAATCGAGAGCAGACTCTTCATCAGATCCGACTAGGCGGCACGAGTGGCGCAGTTTTCGGTCTTGAAGTTTTGGTTTGCGGCTTTGTTGGATTTCTATGCTAGTGGTGGTGGCTCGTGTGCGGTCTCGGGTGGCCGAGTGTTAGGTTTGTTAGGTGTAGGGGAGGTCCTAGTTTATTTGTTAATTAGGTGTGTGTTTTTTCTTTCTTTCTTTTTGTTCTTTTGGATGTTTCGTTTAGTGCAGCTATGTCTGCTTTTTAGTGCAACTCTGTCTGTTTTTCTCTCCTTTATGTAGTTTGTGTCTCTTTTTTCTAGTTTTTGTTCGCCTCCTTGATGGAGTTTGTACCCCCTTGTATGTGTTGACAAGGGGGGTTGGTCCAGTTTTCTAGTTTCAGTGTGTCTTTTGACACTTCGGGTGTACTCTTTTGAGTTTTTAAGTTATTAATATAATTATCATTATCATATGAAAAAAAAAAATGTTAGTTTTACATATTTTCAGGACTTGGACAGATAAAGTCCTAATCTTAAATGTTAAGAGTAAATATAAAATTCATGTTTTAAATTGAAAGTTGGGTCTAGTACAAACCGCAATCTCTCTCTCTCTCTCTTCAATTTTATGCAGGTCTCTCCGAACTCTCCCCTACAAAAACCAAGCTACAATGATTGTGCAAACATCTCAGAAATGTACAGTAATTGATCAAAATATTGAACCTTAATTCTTCTAGTTTATCTGTAATTTAAAATTTATTACATAATTTCCCGTTAGAAGAAATAATCATTTTTTTTTTTTTTTTTTCTGCTCAGAGTTTTGTTGCATTCGATTCCATGTCGCATTACAATCTTTGGCCTTCAGTTTCAAACATTTCGAGGTTGATTTTTGGGCTTTTGCTGAAACTGATGAGTAACTGACCTTGTGAGGGTGCAATTGGAATGCCATTTTATTTTGACTTGATATTTTGCTGCCAACATTTTTAGGTGGAGATCATGGCATCATCTGGTAGGCGTGTAAAGAGGGGGAACTTGGACGACGAGTGTGATGATAGTATGGTCAGGAAAAAACCGCACTAGAAAATCACGAGCCAGCAGAAAAGGCTCGAGTAACAAGTCCTGATCATCAAAGTCGAGGCCACAGAGGGCTGCAGCCAGAAATGCACTCCACCTGTGATACATGTACAGGAACATATATATATCCACAGGAACTTGGACGGCAGAGTGTGATGATAGTATGGTCGGGTGAAAGCTGCTGCAAAATGACCCTTAAATTCACATACCAGTCTTCTGATGTAGTGGGCAAATGAAATCGTTCGAATTGACTCTACCCGAGTTGACAGGCTTTCCGGATTTTCTCGTTGTGAAAAACAGGTAGGATGCATCAATGGCTCAAAACTGGACCACACGGATTTTCTCTAATTAATCTTTTATGGTTTTCTATGTTTAACAGTTGAAGTTGCGGATTGGTTGGGGTTGGAAATTAAATCTTTGGTTTTCTTTCAGGATCATTATGGAGTTAACAAATTGAAACAAGAGTCGCAGAAGACAAAGTTCATCAACGGACATGACCCTTTTGTTGCATCTTCAATTTATTCTTCTTTTTTTTTTATTATTTATTTTGTGGCACGTTCGCATTTTATCATGTATATGTTTGCATCTTAATTTCTAATTTTGATATGTGCATGGTTTTCTAATTAAAATCTATATTTTTTTTTTTACAGATTCCATGTTCCATTGTCTCTCGAACTTGTCCGGTCTAGGTTGGAAAATAGTTACTACCGAAGTATGTATGCCATGAAGAACGACGTGGAGGTCATGCTTGAGAATTTGGAATCATATTTTGGGAAAAATGTGGAGCTTTCGACAAAAATGAATCTGTTGTTCGACTGGTTCAGAAAGACCCTGTCGTCTTCATAGTTATAACTGGGCACTGATTATAACTGGGAACAATTTTGTAGATAGAATTAGCAGGTGCCTCAACTGAGTGGGGCCTGTGTTATTTTGTATATATATATTTTTTTTCTTTTTTTTTTTCCCTTCAAGAAAATGAAATTGTTTGATCTACTTTTTTTTTTCCCCCTTTTTTCTAGGCCAAGTGTTACAGGCCTAAGTTTGGGGCTTGGACTTGTCACGACCCCTTAGAGTGTCAAGGTCCGAAAGACCCGAGCACTTGCATGCGCGGTGTCGACTAAGGGAAGGATGCGAGCTGGGATCGTCCTTGTGACTAAATCTTGTGACTAAATCGTGGGACGATGAAGACATGTGTGCGAGACTCAACTCTATTTGTCCAAGTGTTGGTCGGATCATGTGGGATGGGTCGAGACTTTGTGTGGGATCTTGACGTACATCATGTTGGTTGGATAAGTCGAGGGCTCGGTTGGACGAGGATTATCGCGGGTTGTGCATGGCCTTGCGGGTTCGTGGGCTAAACTCGGGTCGGTACAGTGCGAAGCGACGCGGTGCCTCGCATAATTGCCGGGTAAGTCACGGGCAAGGCGACGACCAAGCGCGCACTGATGACTCGAACGAGTGTACTAGCTAACCAAACAAGACATGGTCGACTTAGGCTGGTTCGAGCACGAGAGTGCTTCAAACGATGCATCTCGATGGGCGCGTGCAAGTGTTGGCGCGGCGTCTAAGCCGTTGGCACGAAAGGTTGGAATTTGAACGATGCTTGTGGGGTGCACGTGGGCTAGTTGGTTACTAATGAGCACCACGTGGCCTACGCGGGATAATTCCTTTGAGCATTGCATGGTCGAGTGGGAACAAAGGAAAAGAAGGCATGTAGCTAGACGGTTTCTAGGGACACGTGGCATAGACGGTTTCTGACCTGCGTGGGAGTTGGACAAGATATGCACGACGGTTGGCACCCGTTTGTTGCATGGGCTGGGATGGCATCAGATGGATGTGGGCACATGCCAAGGGAGCAGTTGTGCAAAACTGCCAAGCAGTTGGGCGCTGCGAGACCTGAGGCCTATAAGTAGGCTGAGGCCAACATTTATGCTGGAAATAATGAGCGTGATAAAGCGAGTGATCACGATACACACTCTGTAAGAACTCAGAAAGAGCATTGAGGGAGGGAGTGCTAAACACGAGGGTGCATTAGGCGAGGCAAAAGAGACGAGCGAGCTAGTGTGCGAGCGAAGTCTTGTATTGTATGCTAGTAGATGCGTGAGTTGGCATACACTAAGTGTTATAACGATCGTGTGTAAGGCCAATTTCTGTAAACCGCCATTTAGTATACAAGTATGTGTGTCTGCATGTACAAGAGTGTGGGTCGAACCGTGTATGCGAGCCAAAGGGTCTTCCATTGTACATTTATGTTATAATAGTACATTGGTTGGGCGTGAGCCCGTAATCATGCGTATCACTAATTTAGTTGATTGCTTCCGCATGCGTGTGTGAGTGACGTGCTTGCATAACCTCGATTGATATTTGTATGGGCGCACTAACGATCGAGAGACAGTGAAAGGCTGACTGGTTTGTGGGGAATCAGGTTGCATAGGGTGCTAAGTGGACGAAAAATTCAAGCCTAAACCTAGACCCCGTGACACCAAGCGCAGTATAGTTGGCAGGTTCAAAGAATCTTTGAATAGGAATTCATTATAGAATGGAGGTACATGATTTTTTTCTTACCAAAGTTAACTGTAGGTGGTTTTGAGGGAGATTTTTAGAAGAAATTCTTTTTTTTTTTGGTACAGGGACCTTCCGGTTTCTGGATCCATAGGAGAACCAACTAGTCTGGAATCGAGCTGGGTAGGACCACAAGGGCGGCAAAGCTCTCCCTCAAGAGTTTTTAACACTGTTGCATTCCCAGGGCTCGAACACGAGTAGAAGAAATTCTTTAATGTACAGTCTTGACGATGATTTAGTGAGCATCAATTTAAAATCTTGGTTTAGTGGAATTTATATCTGTTGAGATCTTGGACTGATCTTGTGAGAGTGGGGGCCGGGATCCTGTTTGCTGTGGACATATTTGCTTCATGTTACTTGCAATTTTTTTTATTTTTATTTTTTTTGTGGCATTCTCAGAAAGTTATTCAATCACGCCATGACATACTCTTTAAAATAATGGTAAATCTACTACGATGGTTTAGTCTATTGGCAGCAAGGTGAACTACTTTTGATTAAATACAGGAAAATGTTACGGTCCCATTACGGAAACATTTTGTCGGGTTTGTAACCGTTGGATCAACTATCTCATACGGTTACATTATGATCTAACGTTTACAAATCCCGATGTAATAGTTCCGTAACAGGATCTTAGCATTTCCCTAATATATATATAAAGTAACCTTGGATGAATATGAAAGGTAATCTTTGATGATCATGAACAATATTTTGTTTGTGCTCTGCTTTTGGCTTAAAATTTCTTGAAGAATTATACTACTAATTTTAGCAGGGGCTTTGATGGGATCTTCACAGACAAAAAAGGATTGAAGTCTAAATTTGATAACTTTGATTGAATATGATGAAACATGGATCTTGTTCTTTCTTATTGTAAAACAAGGAATTTGATGTACAAAATACCCTTTTTGGCTAAACTTCAACTAAACATTCCCCTCCCCAAAACCCAATCCTGGATCAGAACCTGAGAATTCAACGGCTGATCGGTCGGCACAAGGTGACCGGCATTCATCACCACAGCATGGCTAAAAGCCTTCCATCTCTGCACATACCCCGCCAAACTCCCGTCGACCCGCCAAATTTCCCTTTCTGCCCTCAAGAACTCACCCACCTCATTCCATTCCATCTTCTCCACCCAAGCCAGAGTCGAAAACACGCCGTCCCTCAAATCACACTGCCCCTGATACAACAAAATCTTAATCCCCTTTCTAACCAAAAACTCCACCATCCCCCGCACGCTCTTCATCACGTCGTCATGCAACGCACTCGCCACGGCCGGACTGCACAGCTCGAACTCAATTGACTGTTTTGCCCCCAACGCCCTCTTCACCCCTGCATCGTTCAAAAACATAGCCACAACCCGGTTCGGGTATCGGCTCAGCCTCCTGAAATCGTACAGGGTGGCCAAACCCGTCATATTGGTCAACGTGTCTAAAACACGTGCCCTCGCATTAGACGCCTCGTTCCATCTCCGGCTCCTTACGAATCCAACCGTCTCGTTCTGAATTTCCTCCAAACGACTCATTTGTTCTCGGTTGATCAGCCCGAGATTGTAGCAATTCTCGGCATGAGTTTTGACTTGGGTCTCGGGATCGGTTAAACCGTTCCCGATGGCAATGCCGGCGAAATTGAAACTCCTTTTTCTCGTCACGATGTGATATCCGAGGGCCGGGAGATACTTCCCGGCGTAGCTCTCGCCGGTGATGTAGACCGGCCGGTTCCGAGAACTCGGGTCGAGGAGGGATATGAATTTGTCGATGGCCGTAAGGAGGTGTTTGGCAACATCGTTTTGGTTTTTCGGGATTTCTTGAGGGGAAGCGGCTACGCTGAATCCGGTGCCGATTGGATTGTCGAGAAAGAGGAGGCCGAAGATTTTGTTCCAGGAATACGGGTTGGGCTGGAGGGAGATGTTTTGGTTGAGTAGCCACGGGCCGAGCTCGAAATAGTTGGCGAGCATGGAGGAGCAGCCCGGCCCGCCTTGGAGCCATATGAGGATTGGGGTTTGAGGGGTTGTGGGAAGTGTTTGGGATTCGTAGTATGTGTAGAAGATGGCTGAGCCGGAGGTGGAGTTGACGCTTAGGTAGCCGGATTTGGTGGGGAGGGCCTTTTTTGGGTATGAAAATGATGACGTGGCGGAGGTGGAGAGGAGGAGGACGGCGGAGATGAGGAGGAGGAAGAGGAGGAATGGTGGTGGGGAGTTCATGGTTGGAGATTTGTGTGGGTTTTTCAGTGCTTGGAGTTGAAGTGATTGTGAGCTTTATAGGAGGGTACTATAAGTGCAATGTTTGACTTTTCTTGTTTTTTTGGGTGGTTTTGTCATTTTTTTTTTCTTTGCGGAAACGTTTGACTTTTCCATGTCCGACACTTTGACTTTATTTTACTTATTTATTTTACTTTTTTTTTTGCTTGGTGGTGGTGGGAGCATTTTCTAACTGTATTTGGTTGGTTGTGGAAGATCTGTCTGTATAGGTGGGTTGAATAATATATAGTTTTTTTTTTTTTTTTTTTTTTTTTTTTTTTCTTCGAAACGATAGGTTTTATAGCTCCAAACATTTGTACATGAGGTGGGGCTAAATAGCCCAATGACCAGCCAAGCCTAGCAGAACAAATCTGTTAAAAAATAAACAACCAATAGAAGGGATCAAAATCCATGGCATATTCCAACATAGAACCCATGGACTTGATCCTATCTAATCAAAAGCAAAAACAGCTTGACCACTGACACACACCCTAGCCAAGCTGGACTACCACTAACCAGCACTACTGCCACAAACTACTACAGCAAAAGGCAACTAGCTACTCAAAACAGGCCTAGACTAAAGCAACCCAACAAAAAGCAAATAACACAAAACTATTAACAACTAAAGCAGAACAAGCCAACCAGCTATATCAGAATCTAAGGCTCTGCACATTGATGAATTCCAGCCACTCTTCCACAGCTACATTCACCACAGCCAGCTCTGCTCTCCATAAGCCTTGGAAAACCCACAAGTTCCTTGCTTTCCAAATCCACCAAAGTAAGTAAGCTGTGAGCTGAATTCTAGCCTCATTGTTTGCTGTCATAGGGATAGAGCATAAGTTGGTCCACCAATGAGAAAAACTTTCAGCATGGAGATCTAAACCATAATTAGTGGCAGAAGTCATTTGTTTTTTAACGACATAATTTCATAAATAGAACAGTGTAGTTATAAAACTGAAATCCTTGAGAGGACAATCCAAAAGGCTGCCTAATTCAAAACACACAACACACTCACGAGCTCCCAACAGGAAAATACGATTCCCAAAAGGAGAATAAACACAAAACACACAATAAAAACAACAAAACAAGCCACTAACAACACACATAACAATACTAAAATAATCCCTCTCCGCCAGCTGACCGACAACCCAAACCCTAGAGATGCGGCTCCAATCACGACACTAGAAACTCCTGATCAACGCCCACTAACCAGATCCCGCCTGAACACCAACACCTCCTTCCAAAGGAACTCATCTCCAGAAAATTCAGGCGGCTCACATCTGGCCACATCCCAACGTAACCCGATAACCACAACACCCAATCAGCCGGAGACAGAGGCTGCCGCTGCCGGATGAATCCTCCAATCACCACACTAGAGATCTGTCGGACCCAGGTGAGAGCTAGACATGAGCTCGGGCCCAAACCGCCGCCCAAACAACACTCAGAGTCGTTTTGGCCGCGGCCAAAAAAATCTCCCCCCAAATAAAACTCTGTCGTTAGCTAAACATTCGGCTAATTCTTGTCGAAACAAAACAATAGATTATTTTTTGTTCATTTTGTATTAGATTTCCTAGTTTGTATTCTTAGGAAAATTAATAATCATGCAAATAAAAATAGTATGGATCTAGTAGAAGGGTTTCAATCTAGTCGTCTTGAGTGCATAATATCGTAGTAATGCTCAAACAATTATCTTTCGAAATAATTAATGATTACTTGCATAGGAAATTTTCAATCTTTTATCATTAGCTATTGCATATTTCTTGGGCTGTAATAATTTTGCTCATGAAATTAGATACTAACATGAATCTCGTGCAGTGCACGAGTAAGAGATATTCACTAGTATTTATAAATTAAAATTTCTTATTAAATAGTATAGAAAATTAAAAATATGGAATAAATATGTAATGCAATTGACCTATATTAATTTATTAAAATGATATATAAAGTTTAAATTGTGCAAAATTACATAAATATGTTTATTTAAAATTTGTACACAACTCGTGCGGTGCACATAACTGATAATAAATTACATTATAGTTGTTGAAAAATAAGTGTCATTTCATATTTTTTATCAGAAATTAGATTTAACTATAATGTGATTTCATCAAATAATTATTTTGGTAAAATTTTATCATATATTTAATTAGATTGTTTCATTACTTAAATAAATATATATATTTGTATAAAATAATCAAATAAAAAAAATTAAGTGTTGAATAATTTATTAAACTATAAATAATTGACTACTTCATTTACGTCCAAGTTAATATTGACCGTAAGTTATTGAATAATTTATTATACTGTAAATAATTGACTATTTCCGGTTAATATGACCCCTAAGTTATGAATAATAATTTTTTAATTTTTAATTTTAAATAAAAATATTTATATATTTTTCAATATATTATATACTAAATTTAAACCATACAACTAATAAAGGTAATAGCTGCAATTTTTGACCAAAATGATTATGTGCATTAATTACATTAAATTAGGCGGGGTTTTTTTAAATTTTGGCCAAAAGAATTACCTAATCTAGTATATCTGAATTTTTAGGCGGGAAACCAAATGTTTTTTTACTGATTTTTATTTACAATTTGAAGTAAATATCATTGTCTTTTTATATATTAATCGATTCCCAAATAAAAAACTTATAAATACAACTGAAGTAATTTATGACAACACATTGGAATTTCAAATATTTAATCAATATTTACAATAATTTCACTTGTGAAGTCATTATTGCACTTTATTATGCATGTACGACCATTAAGACTAGCACGTACCTCATGCGATGTACGAGACAAAGATATTAAATGAGTTATTTTTTACAGTCTATTTTTCACTTCTTTTAATTAGCGTTAAGTCTAAAAAACAATAGGATTATAATATATTTTCCAACTCATTTAATCAATGTTGTTTTAGCTAAAACATTAAATATGAACATTATTAAGGCTTCATTGTAATATATTAATATAATATCTCACTAACAAATTTATACAAATACAAATTTTATTTTAGTATATATATTTATTCTTTGATATAAGAGAAAATAGTAGTTTACTTATTTTGTTCACAATAAAATAATTAATTATTATTTTACTATAAACTATGTTGTCAAATGTCATTTTATTTATAAAAGTTATAAAAGTGGCTCGTCTTCTTTTTATTTTTATTTTATGTAATGAAAAATATTTAATGCACGTCAGTATTATTTATTTACGTAATAAATTTAAAATATTTTAATAAATATAAAATTAAATAGTGTATAAATATTTTATAAAATACACACACATGTGTTTTTATAATTAGATTTTGTATACTAATTAAATAACTTCGATCTAGCAAATGCCCCAAAACTCAATCCCTTATATAATCAAGATTTTTCTAATTTGCATTATAAATATTTATATTTTATTTAGCATACATTTTACAATAATTTCATTATAGAAATAAATCAAAATAAAAAAATAATCATGGTTTCCAATGATATATAAATAAATTCTAAAGAACATTTAACATATTTTAGTTTTTTACCATTAGTAAAACTATTTAATGCATCTGATCATTATTTCTTAAATGGTAGATTATATTAGTTCGAAGAATTTATTATTTTTGATATATGATGAAATAAAACTAAAGAATAAATTATATTGACAAAGATTAATTCATCAACTTAATTCGTCTGATTAATTGGAAGAAAAAATTCTACCTAATTTGTTACAATTTTCTATAAATATTTTTGGATAATAAGTGATTGTGAAAAAAATAATATTATGATTAGAACTTAAAATATGTTGTAATATTTCTTTTACCAAAATATTATCAACATGAATTACACAAAATCAAAAATGTATTTATTATAATGGATATCAATGAAATTATTGTAGATATTAATAAAATTATTTAAAAAAACAATATTTTTGATCATATCAGATTTGATCTTATTTTAAAAAGTGAATATAGAAGCAATTAATGCATATGTTTAAAAGTTTTCAAAAAAAGGTATGCACTAAATGCTCTTAAAATTTTTTACTACTATTTTTAATAAATGGTTATTATTATTATTATTATTATTATTATTATTATTATTATTATTATTATTATTATTATTATTATTATTATTATTATTATATGTATATATATATATATATATATATATATATATATATATATACATATAATTCCCACTTCATAGATTTGCAAAACATTGTCAACTTAAGAAAATTCATATACTAATTTGGAAAATATTTAAAACTAAGAAGATTTTAAGATTAGAGATACCATTCCCACCAAGGTTTAGAATTTCTTCGAATATGTTCTTGAATTCATTCGAGATGTGAGAAAAACTAAAATTGGAGATTAGTATGTTCTTCGAATATGTTCTTGAATTCATTCGAGATGTGAGAAAAACTAAAATTGGAGATCAGTATGTTCTTCGAATATGTTCTATTTATTTTGTTTCTTGTTCAGGAGCTCTTTTAATTAGAAAATTTATAGTTACCTTTAGTTGCACCCACGGATAAAATAAATACTATGTTGCTTTGGCTTACTTCAGAGCATCTGCAGTGTTGCTCTAGAATAGATCAGAACGTTGGAGTTGTGTCCGAAAATCTCTCCAACCGTGCGCTGAAAGCTTGCGCCACATAAGAGATAGGAATAATGATGCGCCAGCTGTGGCGCAGCACTGTAGCGCAGCGCTACATATTATTATTATTATTATTATTATTATTATTATTATTATTATTATTATTATTATTATTATTATTATTATTATTATTATTATTATTATTATTATTATCATTATTACGGAGAATGGAGATTTTTAATTAAATTTATTATTTATTTTCTTTATTTTAGTTATTATTAGTGGTATCTTAGATTTGTTAGGAAACTTATTTATTTATTATTTTATTGGAACTCTTGTGTTGTTGGGCAAACTATTTAGTTAGAGCTTTTAGGGT